CCCCCCTCCCCCTCCCTCCACTCCCCACCCCAGACACAACTGTCCCGTCAAGCCCGACCTATTCCCTGCCCACACTCTACACATCCGCTGGCGACAGGGGCACAAACTCCCGTCCTACACGCCACAGGCCGTGCACGCTATCCTGCAGAGGTACTCCGCCACTACACCACCAACGTTTTAGTTTGAAGACTAAGATCACCACACACACAACTCACACAACACAATATGTACAGAGTACAGGCGTTTTAACCCTATCCGTACGTCGTGTTTTACTATCGTATCCATACGACGTGGGGAACTCTGTGCCACCACTTTCCAAAGAAGAAATTTACTCGTTAATCCGATCCATACGCTTTGCCCAGCAGTCTGTCAAAATGATTTTTTTTAAAAGAAATACTTTTATAGTTTCAAAGAGATCATCGCACCAGAAGTATTCTAAAATGTGAAGAATACAATCTCGGAGGTACAAAATAACCACAGGGCGTACGGATAGGGTTAAACTAGTATATCCCACCACCAGGCAGTGCTATTAACTGAAACTTGTCTTTAGGCTGTTCCCAAAGGGGGGACATTTGCATGTTCTGATCCACAGTAGAATTGTAAATGGGCTCTTGTATCAAGGTCATGTTCTTACTGTGCTGGAACAACAAAGAGGAAACTGCTGCTTTTTTTCCCCTCATCCTTACTATCGTTATTTTCTCTTTACTTCTTTTGCATGTTTGTCACTCTCTTGTAAACTGCTATTTCCGGGGTGCTTTAATGGTCGAAGCAGACTTTGTGCTGTTGAGGCTAGGGAGGAAAGCGGAGTAAGCATTATACATTTTCAGTTGGTAGGAAATTTTGAATTTTGTCCGGGTGGCTGCCGAAGCCTACTCTTATCGATTTTAGACAAACAAAGGATCTTTAACGTGAGCAACTTGCACTCGGGACCTCCGAGATTTTTCACCCTTGTCCGAGAAGGCTAGGTGTAGATCTTTTCTACCAGAAGATCAGGAGTATGGCTGAAAAACAGCTGTAAAAAGGAGCCAATGAGTAGCAGTAGAAA